AAGTGGGAGGAGAAGGGGACGACAGAGGATGAGGTGGTTGGATGGCATCACCGACTCGATGGACATGAGTTTGAGCAAGCTCTGGGAGATGGTGACGGACAGGGAAGCCTGGCGTGCTGCAGTCCATGGGGTCACAAAGAGTTGGACCTGACTGAGCTACCAAAGTGAACTATGCTTAGAGGAGTTAGTTTAGATAATACGAATGTCGAATAAAAGTCATGCCAAAATTTTTGAGGAATTGTGACACAATATTGACAAGTACCATTTGAGAAAAATATGATATCCAAAATGAGCTAGGCAAAAACAGAAAAGTTAGTTGTCTTCTGTAAGAAGAGATACAGGGAACCCTCCTTCACTGTTGGTGGGAATGTGAATTGGTACAGCCACTATGGAGAGCAGCATGGAGTTTCCTTAACAAACTGAAAATAGAGCTACCATAGAATACAGCAATACCACTCCTGGGCATATATCTGCAGAAACTCTAATTTGAAAAGATAGATGCACCCCAATGCTCATAGCAACGCTATTTACAATAGCCGAGACATGGAAGCAACATAAATGTCCATCAACAAAGTAATGGATAAAGAATATGTGGTACATATACACAGTGGAATACTCCTAAGTCATAAAAAAGAATGAAATAATGCCATTTGCAACAACATGAATGGACCTGGAGATTATCATACTAAGTGAAGTAAGTCAGACAGAGAAAGACAAATAGCATATGATATCACTTATATGTGGAGTCTAAAATATGATATAAATGAACTTATTTACAAAACAGAAATAGACTCACAGACATAGAAAACAAACTGATGGATATCACAGAAGAAAGGGGGGAAGGAAGGGATAAATTATTTGCTTGGAATTAACAGATGCACAATACTGTATATAACATAGATAACCAACAAGGACCTACTGTATAGCACAGGGAACTATACTCAATATCTTGTAATAACCTATAATGGAAAAGAATATAATATACATATATATAGGTATACACACACACATATATGTAACTGAATTACTTTGCTGGACACCTGAAACAAACACAACATTTTAAATCAACTATATTTCAATAACAATTAAAAAAAGAAAGATACAGCAACTTACAGCCAGTGCAGTCTGGGCATGTGCTGACAAAGAGATTTGTCAGGCAAGCGGGTAAGGACATTGTTCATCAGTACTCTGAAAAAGAGAATCAGAAAGGAGTCCCATTTTTCTGTTTCTTTTCTCAACTGAAATGAAACATGGGTTTATCATTATTCTTATGAAGCTGTGAACATCTAATAAGTTAGGTGCCTTCTCACTCTAATTTTTTTGTAAATCTCGTTGTATTTAATTGCTTGTTAGTAAGAAAATTAGACAAATGATATCTGTCATAGGGAAGAAGCAGTAACACCAGCAGACTGAAGAAAACACCTGTACCCTTCAACTGTGGGTAGTGAAAAGAAGGTGATTTCAAGGGAATGTTATTTTTCTTTACCAAGATTAATATACTAAGTCCCTTACATATGAATGAGTTCCATTCCAAGAGCATGTTCTTTAAGTCCAATTTGTTCATAAGTCCAACAAAGTTAGCTTAGGCACCCAACAAACATGATCAGCTATATAGTACTGTACTTTAATAGGTTTATAATACTTTTCACACAAATAATACATAACAAACACAAAAGATAAAGAAAACATTTTTGATTTTACAGTATAGTACATTGAAAAGTATAGCAGTGTAGTACTATAGCTGGCATACAGAGGCTGGCATCGGGTGAATAGGGAAGAAGAGTTACTGACTGGAAGAGGGAAAGAAAGTGCTAGATGGTAGAGCTGAAGGATCATCAGCAACAGGGAATGGAGGACAAGCTGCAATGTCACTCACGTCTGATGTTGATGGAACGCATGTTCACATCTTTAAAAGTTCACAGCTTGAAGGTTTGTATGTAGGGTTTACTGCATGGCATAGCACTGGTGTGCCTAAGGATATTGGAATGAAACATGTCTGTGAGGCTGTGTTTAGTTTCAATGGGCTGACATTCTAGAAGACAGAAGATCTTATAAAATTGTTACAGCTACAGAATCGCCTCATAGAATAGGACCAGGAGATGGTTTTTAGTTGGAAAGGTCTTTCTCGGGTTCTAATAACAAATAAAATACTATTAAACTCAAAGTGATCATTTTTTATTCATGTATTTTCTGTCAGTTGAAACATTTGCTTAAATTTTTAGTACTTACAGGAGAATAAGAGAATTTAGTCCATAAAATGTTAGTGGGGAAATTCGATTGAGGTGATTATCTTCAATTATCCTGCCAGCCAGAAGAAAAAATGGATTCATTTTATATATTTTTCAACATAAAGACTAATACTATAATATGCCACAGAAATGAAACATACAGCCACTCTAGTCTGTGGAGATCTTCAAAAACACCCGGCTTCAAGAGGGTTATTCTGTTATGACTGAGATACCTGAAAAAAGAGAAATGATGACAGTAAATCTGTTATCTTCTTGATATCTTACAATGAGGAAAGGAAGAACAATAGTCATTCATCTTAAAGTTTCTTATATGCTGTTCTCATCGGGCCGTTTTCCTGCCTTTGGAACTCTTAAAGTTCTTTATCATTTACCTTTCCATATCCAGTTTTAAATTTCTCAATTATCAATCAACCATCAACCCATCAGTCAATCACTCTATCTATTCATCTGTTCATCAGATTGTTTTGACAGTTTGCTAGGTCTCTAATCCCCTTCTTTGAGGAAGATGACATCTGAGCAGGTAAATAGAATAACAGCAGAGGGAAAGAGCTAGAACATGCAGTTACTCTGACTTTCCAGCAGAGAAGATGCTGGTTGCTGGTTGGGGCTGTGGAGTTTGGAGGGGAGAGGAGACAGTGCTAATGGAAAGAGGCTCAAGTGAGAAGAGATTTGGAATGAGGGTGTGTCATCCACAAAGTAAAGCATGGATGGGAGTGAGTCCCAGAGAGAGGAAATGACTTATGCAAAGGCAAGAGGTGTGAGGGTGACAAGCTGAAGGGTCAATGTGAAGAGGCTGAGAGGGGACACAGGAGATGCTCCGGGGCAGGCAGGGACCCGATCTGGAGAAAAGACTGGGCACCTGCGGGGAGTCTGACCCAATGTACTCGGAGCAGACTTGACTTCTCACTCTTCTGCAGAGTGAATGCTCTCCTCCTTCTGTTACACTGATTGCTTATGCAGTTTTCTTTTTTCTCTTTCTTCCAAGAACAAATGCCAGCTGTTAATAACTTTCAAAATCACCTATTGTATAAGTGGAATCAAGCTGGAATAGTCACTTCATAGAGTCAGAAAGTATACTGGTAGATGGCAAGGGCCAGGGGTGAGGGGTGGGGAGGGGAATGAGGAGTTAGTGTTTAATGGGGCCAGGGTCTCAGTTTAGGAAGGTGAGAAATTAGGGATATGGATGACGGTGAGAATGCATGACAATGTGAATGTATTTAGTGCCACTGAACTGTACAATTAAATATGATTAAACTGTACTTTTTATATTTTGTAACTTTAACCTCAATATAAAAAACATTAAAAAAAAATCACCTCTCTTCTTTTATAGAGGCCTTAGAGTCTTTATGTGGTTTTTTTTTCTCTGAAGAAAACTTTTGGACACACACACACAAACACACATAACCCAACAGAGTAAATAAATAAAGGGATAAATAAAGGGAAATATTTGCAAAAATCTAATTCCATTTAACTAATTAATCTAATTTAATTAAATTAGTTTAATCTAATTAGACTAATTTAATATAATTCCATTTAATCTAATTCCATTTAACTTTGTCCTTTTGATTTGGTAAAGTGGAGGTGAGACTCTCAAAATACCTAAGGTTGCAAGAGTCCAGGACTGAAATATGTGCAAAATTCTTCTCCTTCCATTTTGGCTTAAAATGTCAGAGAAACTGTCCTATGTGTTTATTTCTGTATCAATTTCTCTAGCTCAGCAATTCTGCTCTGAATCTGCTGTCAGACAGTTTGGTTCCTAGCTCTGCTACTTGTTAACAGTGTGACCTGAAGCAAACAACTTCTGAAATCCTCTGTTTCCCCAATTCTGACGTGGCAATAACATCAGGGCCTAATTCACTGAGCTGTTGAGCATTTGAGACCAGGCGTGTCAGAAGCACTTGGCACATATTATCATGACCATGTCTCTGTTTAACTTCCCACATCAATTTCTTGCCTCCTCCTTTTCCTCACTGCCTGTGATTCCTATGCAAGTGTACATTCAATTCCATTTCTACTGATACATGGGCCACATAGATTTCTCTCTTCACTCTGACAAATTGGGCAGTTGTGTTTGTTGTGTTGTTAGTCGCTCAGTGGTGTCCGACTCTTTGTGACCCCCATGGACTGTACTCTTCAGGCTCCTCTGTCCTTGGAATTCTCCAGGTGATAATACTGGAGTGGGTAGCCATTCCCTTCTCCAGGGTCTCATCCCAACTCAGACTTCCTGCATCTCCTTCATTGTAGGCAGATTCTTTATCATCTGAGCCACCAGGAAAACCCAATTCCACGTCTACTGATACGTGGACCACACTGATTTCTCTTCTTTTCTCCACTCTGACAGATTAGGGAGCTGATATCTTATGAAATCTCTTCTGCCAAGAATTTACTTCCCCTCTCCACCCCGCAGATCTGACTTTTGCTTGGGGGTAGCGTGGGATAAGACCCCCACATTCTAGCCACTTCCTTCCTTCCCTTGCAAGCCTGGAGCCCCAGTTGGGCATGTGAAGATGGAAAGTATCTCAGAGGCTCCCTTTAAGAGTCACTGGAAGTCCCCCAAGTAAAGGTATTTGATCCATCCCCACCCCCAAAGACCTGTGCTGTCTGTTTCACCCAGTCCTCTTCAGTTTTCAGAGTCCTCATCCACTGCTCTGGACCTGAAATGATCACTGCTTTCAGACAACCATCATAGCAGCTGTGGTCTGAACAACACAGGTTTAGGTCCTAAGAAGGTAAATCCCTCGCCATTCTCTATGATGTATATGTGGGCATTGTTTCACCAACATAGACTGTAAGCTTCTGGAAAGCAAGGGAGTGCCCTTCCCCAGAGGAAGCACATGGTTCTGTCTGAAATACCGGAGTGTAACATGCTGAAAGGCAACAGGTCTGACTTCTCTTTCTCTGTACCGCCCTCTAGAATGTCTAACTGAAGAACGTGCACACTCTGAGGGATAATGAATATCTACGGATGAGTGGCTAGCAGAATCTGATGGTGATCCACGAAAACCCAGGACCGTGTGACATTTTTACACGCAGACAATATTCTAGTGGCAGGAAAAAGCCAAGGAGCGGATGGAAGACACTTTTGCATTTACTCTCCAGTTTCTACTATCTTTCAAGAGCCCCCTCCATATCCATTGAACATTATACCCAGCAGATGTGTTTAAAAGTTTTGACTAGATTTGTGAGCGATCGTAAAGAAAGGTAATCGGAAACATGACAAGGATGAGTCTAGTACTGACTTCGGGTAATTTGCTATGACGTGAAAGAGCCGGGTTGGGACGGAAGGGAAGAGGACACGGCTACAGGGGTTACTGTTAGGACTTTGGAACTCCAGTGACTTTCTTCTGTTTTGCTACTAAGTGATCGGGTGGCCTTCTTGACTCAACTCCAAACTCTGATACCACCAGTGAGGAATCTGACCAAAGTTTCTTGGGTTAAGGATTAAAAAATGGGATAGAATAGAAAGCAAGGGGCCAGAAATAGAAATACAGGAAACTTTTATTTATGTGATTTTGGGTCATAATTCCCTTCAATAACTCCTGGGAGTCAGCTGCTTGGTAGAATGCAATGAAATGGAACTCTGAGAAGGATTATTTTAAAAAGCCTTGCTCTTAACTATAATGAGACACCACTTTACACCTGTAAGGATGGCTGTTATTAAACACTACACAGCACAAAACAACAACAAAATCCCAGAAAATAGGAAGAGTTGATGAGGATGTAGAAGAATTCGAACCTGTGCATTGCTGATGAAAATGTAAAATGGTACAGATGCTGTGGAAAACAGTAAGGTGGATCCTCAGAAAATCAAATGTAGAATTGCCATATAACCCAGCAATTCCAGTTCTGGGCATTCACCCAAGAGAATGGAATCAAGGGCTCAAAGAAATATTTGTACATCAATGTTCGTAGCAACATTATTCACAATAGCTGAAAGGTGGAAATGATCTCAGTGTTCATCTGTCAAAGTCAATAAAAAATGTGATACACAGAATGGAATATTATTCAGCCTTATTATCATTACATTCAGTAATGAAATTGTGATATATATTACATGGATGAAAATTGAAGGCATAATGCTACGACTAAGATGTTTTGAAATAAGCCTGACACAAAAGGGAAAATATTACCTGTTTCTACTTCTGTGAGGTCCCTAGAGTAGTCATATTCGTAGGGACAGAATGTTAAATGGTATTTGCAAGAGGCTGGAAGAGAGGCTTGGAGAGTTAGTGTTTAATGGATGTGGAGTCTTAGTTGGGAAGATGAAAAGTTCTGGAGATGGATAGTTGAACAATAGTGTGAATGTACTGAATGCCTTGGAAATGACTCAAATGGCAACTTTGCTATATATATTTTACCATAATTAAAAAAAATCTTTGTTCTTTCAAACTTATCATGCTTTATATATTTGTACAAGGAGAATTAGTGGGAAAAGCACAACTTTGGGTTTTCTCCTTCATAAATTTTAGCTATCACTAGGTTTTCTCAGGTTGATAAAGTTTATTCAGTCCTCAATCCCATCACTATGGCTAATGCATATTGTGTGCATAATTCTTCTGATTTTTCTCATTCATTCCTCACAACAACCCTGAGGTAGGTACTGTTGCAGTTTCCACTTTTACAGTAGAGGGAGTTGATGCTTAGAAAGGAAAATAAGTCCTCAAGTTCACTCCCCCAGTAAGAGGTGCAGCATGTGTGACTCAGGGTCCCACCCCTTTGGCCCCAATGCTCTGCGGCAATATCTGCTGTCTGCACATGCCCTGAACGCCGTCATGGGTGGCAGGGCCATGTGCAGTGGGATAGGTCGGGTCCACAGGCCACCATGGAATGGGAAGACTAATTGGTCCTGGTACTTACAGTTTAGTAAGATTGTACAGTCCTCGGAAAGCATAGACAGATATGGATCTAATCTTGTTGTTTTGCAGGCACCTGTGAAAATGATTATTAAAGGGAAAACATGAGGAAAAGGAGTTTCAGTTTTGCAAGAATGAAAAGAGTTTTGTAGATGGATGGTGGTGATGGTGGTGCAAAAATGCGGGTGGGCTTAATGCCTCTGAATGTACACTTAAAAATAGTTAAGGTGGTACATATTATGTCCTGTGTATTTTATCACAACATCTTGAAATAACCTATAATGGAAGGGAATGTAAAAAAAGAATACATATGTTTATACATACATTTAATTGAATCATTTTGCTGTACATCTGAAACTAACACAACATTGTACTATACTTCAAAAAAATTTTTTTTTTGAAAAAAAAAAGAGGCAATGCCAAGAATTCTTAAAAATTAGAAAAGGTAAACATGACAAAATAGTGAAGCTGGATATATGTCATTTTGTCTCTTGATTAAGTGCAGAAATTACTGGGCTAGTTTTTATTTAGAACTTCTAGTTATAAATTTAGACAAAAGATGCCTAAAATTTAACATTTGAATTTTCAATGAGTGAAACTTCAGTTTTAGGGCCTAGCAAGGTACTTACTAATCAAAGAGGCCTAGAAGCCTTTTTAACATTCTGATATTTCCTGCTGTAATTCTATAAACTTGATAGTATTCAGCACAGCCCTGGCAACAATACAAGGCTGTGACATTACTAAGACCCCAAACCATATGCCATGTTCATCACAGATTGGCCAAGCAAGTCAATTTGAATTGTATTTATTTGACACCCAAGTTTTGCTCCAAGTGTTTGAGAAAATGTATCAAATGTACATACCACTAAAGAGAAAAATAGAAAAAAAATCAGGTCTAGAAGACTATAAATGAGCTTGGAAGGCCAAGCAAGGATGCTGGCTGCAGAGTTCCCTGAGGTCATGCTGAAGGTTGGGCCTGGAATTAACAGGAGGTCAGAGGAAACAGAACCTGGAGGACATGCCCTTGCATCCCATGCACCCAGTTGAGCTCCACACATCCATAAGCACCGGCCCCAGGTTGTAGCAAGGAGGAAGTAAGGATTTTAGGCCTGATTTCTTTCCTTCTTCTTATGCAGGTCACCATTGCCCTGGTGTGAGTGCGTGCTAAGTTGCTTCAGTTGAGTCTGACTCCTTGCGACCCAATGGACTGTAGCCCAGCAGGCTCCTCTGTCCACAGGATTCTCCGGGCAAGAATACTGGAGTGGGTTGCTATGTCCTGCTCCAGGGGATCTTCCCGGCCCGACTGAACCTATGTCTCTCACGTCTCTTGCATTGACAGATTGGATTCGTTACCACTAGCGCTGCCTGGGAAGCCATATATTGCCTGGAGGTAGAATCAAAGTATATCTCTAGTCACCAATTACAATTTTTTTGGTAATTAAGCTATTTTGATCTATTACTTGGAACAAATTGGTTGTTCAAGAATTAAAGTTCGTTGTATAAAAATGCCAGCATACTGAATTCTGATATTGAAAGTCCTGACTCCTTTTAAATCATGTGAACACAAGGTGGTGCTACAGATCAGAAAACTTCTTCCTATTCCAGAGATCAGGAAACTGAAAGAAAGTGTCCTCTTGAAGTTTGTGTATCAGGCTTAAACTTGAAAACCTCTTCTCTCTTGATTGATTAATAACTAGAATATAGTTCTGAAAAGTCATTTTTATTTGAATTCAGTTTTCTAATGTAAAAGCTTTTTTTTCAGATAATCTGAGCTTTGAGAACATTTCATCAAACAAAATGGATAATTTTTCTTCTGATTCTGTTCTATTTCTATTATCTTAAAGAAAAAGTACAGATAGATGATATCTATGTACCAGGGTTCTATAGTGTAAACACAAACCCAAAACCAATGTAGATGTGAAAATGAAACCACGAACTCTGAAATGTTTTCTACATAGTGTAATTCAGGCACAGAATACTTCAACCCAGCAGTTTAAGCCTATGACAATATGATTCGGCCACAAAACTGACCTAAACAACAGGCAACCATCACCAGGGCCATTACAGATTTTGAGAATATGTAGGTAATCTTAGACTGACGGGAAGCCAGCATGTCAGATAAAACTCAATGAGGTAAATGTGAACATGGAATTAATTCTACAAAACAACATGCTTGGAGGTTTCAAACCACGAGAACTTGCTATCTTAGGTAGAGATTGGACTTGCAAACATATGGAAGAAAAATTTCCCAATCTAAGCATGAGGGCAGACCTGGTAAATGGTACTAACATCTTTTCTAAGATTGACGTTGAGGTGCAGAGAGCAAAGACTCTTGAGTGTCTTCACTTGGGGGAGGGTGCTAAGAGAATTCACAGTACACATACTTTGGTTTCTTTGGGGATAGGTATCTGAGAGTTTGCTAGGGTGGCTTCTAGAAGCAGTCAGAAAAACAATGTTACCTGGTAGTCTCCAGCTAACAGTTAAATACTTCCCCAGAAAGGGGTTAAATTTAAGCAGAGGTGTAGTGTTGGTCTCTGCAGAAGTGGGAAGAAACAGATATGCCAAAAACATTAGTCAATTTAATACTAAGAATTAAAATTTTTTCTTACAGAGTCTGAAGACCATGGTACCTTTTGAAGACATTAGGAGGAAGCTTTCTTATTAAGTTCCGCCTGAGTGACCTGAAATAAATGTAAATTTGGGGTTTTAAAGTTTTTTTCTTTACTTTTAATAACAGTATGAGCAATTATAAACTCTATTTACTCTAAGACTAGCTTTCAGGAAACACTTTGCTTCATAACGTCACTCTTGTATTCATATCATTTAAATTTTTTTAAAAGAGATTTTTGTTTGAGAGATATTTTAATTTTATTTTAATTAATTAGTGTTTTATTAGGATACAGCTGATTTACAATATTATATTAGTTTCAGGTATACAACATAGAAATACAAAATATTTATAGACTATAGTGCAGTTATAGTTATTAGAAAATATTGGCTACATTCCCTGTGATGTAGCTTATTTATTTATTCACAGTAGTTTGTAGCTCTTAATCCCCATTTTACCCTGCCCCCTTCCCTCTCCCCAGTGGTAACCACTAGCTTGGTTTCTATACATATGAGTCTTTTTGTTTTGTTATATTTGGTAATACGTTTTATTTTTTAGATTGCACATATAAGTGAAAACATACAGTATTTGTCTTTTTCTGACTTATTTCACTAAGCATAATATCCTCGAGGACCATCCATTTTGTTGTTAATGGGAAATTTCATTCTTTTTTATGGTGGAGAAGTATTCCATTGTATATATGTACCACATCTTATTTATCCATTCCTCTGTCAATGGACACTTAAAGGGTTGCTTCCATGTCCAAAATAGCGTTTGCCAGCATCAGGGTCCGCTTGGTAGAATGAGCTCCCAGAATGGCTGCCCCATGTCTAGGTCCCCAGAGTGAGCTCTAGTTGTCTCCTACCTCTTCAGGAGGTTCTCCAAGATCAGCAGGTGAGACTAATGCAGGTTTCTTTCAAATTACTGCTTCTGCCCTGGGTCCCTGAGCAGGTAAGGTTTTGCACGCACCGCTCAAGAGTGGAGTCTCTTTCCCACTGCTCTCTGGGACTCCTGAAAGTAAACTCTGATGGCCTCAAAGACCAGTGTTCTTGGAACTCGTCTTCTTGCTACCGGATTCCCGGATTGAGGAGCCTGATGTGTGGTTTGGGCCCCTTGGTCCCTTTAGGAGAATCTCTGGAATTGCAATTGTCCTCCCATTTGTGGGTCATCCCCTGGGGTTGTGGGTCTTGATTATACGAAATCTCTGCTCCTACTTCCCTTCTTGTTGTAGTTACTTCTTTCTGACTTTAGTTGTAGATGGTCTTTCCTGGTAGGTTCCAGTCTTTTTCACAGATGGTTCTTCTGCAGATAGTGATGGTTTGGTGTGCACATGAGAGTAGATGAGCTCAGGGTCTTACCATCCTTCAGTCTTGGGAATTGCTTCTCTTCATAGTACCAATTGAACTAGGACTAACTGTTGATTTTGAATTATTAGAGATAGTTTTCTTAAATTTAAGTTACAACATTGTAATTTTGACAAAAATTTGAAACAATAAAACTGGAAAAATAATCTTAAGTTATGTTCTTTTCTATTTTCATTTAACAAACAGAAAGCATCTTAGTTTTTGAGTGACAATAAGGATAGTGTTTTCTTGTTTAAAGCATATTCAAGAACCTAATATTATATTCCTCAATATTTCAATTTTCATATTCCACTACCTTTGCTTCCTTTAAAAATTATTTATAAAAGAAACTGTCCATTGATCCATATAGTTGAACCATCTTTATTCAACAAGTAATCCCAATGCAATTTCTAATAAGTTGTATAAAAAAGATTTCCACTTGTATTACAGTTTATAAGCAGCTTGACACAGGCCAGGTTCACATAATTTTGGTTGTATTGAAAAGGACCTAACCTTTGATTCTTTAAACACTATAATATGGTAGGAACAAAATAAAACAAGCAAAAAATCCCAACCATTGAAGCTGGCGGTCCCTGGCATGAAATATACACAATCTTTCCATGTCAGTTTCTTTAACAGCGAAAGAACATATTCAGACTACATGACCTCTAATAATATGTTATTACCATATTTGTAATGGTAACAGTGGTAATACCACTGTTATTATCGTACTTGTCTATTATGATGGTGTAGATGCTCACTAAGAAATGAGCAATACAGCTCATTGACGGGAGTTTGATCTGCTGTGGGAAAACATCTGGAAACAACGGTCAACATAAGGACTCAGTGGAGGGACAGCTTCATACAAAAGACATGAATAGTGTTACTTGTGTTGGTGTGGACCAGTATTGCCTGAACTTGATAATGAAGCCTTCTTAAAGAAAAATAGCTTCTCAGGCCCTTGAGAACACATTTTTGGAAACTAATTGGAGAAAAACCTATTCTAGAATATAGAAAACCATGTATTCTCAACACTAGTGTTATTAGAAAATTAAGAAAATAATTTCTTAGGGAGTGAAAAAAATCTTACTTTTTTAATAGATAAAGAACTAGTATATGTAAATATATACACAGTATATCTAAAGTATTAAAACATCACAGAAGAGGACAAAAATGTCTAAGAAGCCTCAGGAAGGGAGGCAATAAAGAAAAGAAAAAAGGTTAAGAAACACCATTCTAGACTATACAAACCCGTCATTTAGTGATTTTTTTTTTTAATGACTGAATGTCAAAGTTGATTAACTAGTAACCTTGTCTTGAAGTCACTCTTAGCTCCTGGGTTATCATCGAATGTTCTTTCATTCCTTATATCAGCTAATTGAAAATTCTTTTTTTACTGAGTTCTCACTTTGCTTAGAGCTTCAATTCTGCTTTATATCCTGTTTAAATGTTTGTGTTGTATAAAGATTAACTGCAAAATGTTTGGGTTTAATTTAAGGTTATTGATGAAAGTTTAGGGTGCTTCCAAAAGTGTGTTCATTCATTCATTTTCTCAACAAACCTGGCTTGAATGCCTTCTATTGTACTTTGGAAAAAAGATAACATTCCTGTCCTGGATAAGGTTATACTCTATTTGGATGACAAATAACATACTTTATCTACAAATAAAGATTCTTTTTTGGATAATAGCTCAGGACTATTTTTTATTGTAATGATTTACTTGTAAATTCAACTCAGAAACACTGTTTAGAGCTTATTGTACTTGTTAGGAACTTGGAAGTTATATAGAAAAACCACATTGTAGGGCCCCCATGGAGCTTATGGCATTACCCTTTTTCTGGTGGAGGTTAGGACCCCAATCACTATGGCATGAGAGAGAACATTTGTTATACTTAAAGGAGATACAAATGAGGTTCTACTAGAGAACTCAAGAGGAAAAGGCTAATTGTTCCAGAATGAGAGGGTGACTCTAGAAGAAGGGGCAGCTCCTTTAAGCACTCCTGAATAATGTTTCTTAGGAAGTTAAGTTTTTTATTAATAGTGCCTAGAACTTATAGACTACTTCTTGCTAATGATGCAGAATGTTTCACAAGTAGCATTCTCTGTATTTTTATAATACCCTACTGAGATAAAAAGAGGTAGGTATTAATTCTCTCACTTTACAGGATGGATCAAAATACTTTTTAATATAGTAGAGCCTTGTATTTTAAAATTTAATATTAACAAAATGTTATGGACATGAATTCCTGAGCTTGACTCCTACATTTCCAAATGGCTGTTGGCTATTTCCATGGAGTGATCTTTAATCTCCCATTGAAAAAACAACTAAGTTGAAGTTCTAATCTTCCCCACTAACTGTCACCAAGTCTCCCCCATCACCCTGTTACTCAGCAGGGAAACCTTGGAATCATCCTGAATCCTTTCTTCTCTCTTGCCTTCTGTACCCAATCATTCATGAAGATCAGATTCCATTCTAGATGCAGGTGTAGAGGATGGACGTGTGAATGTGGGGGTGGGGGGAAATTGGGGTTGACATATACACACTACCATGTATAAAATAAATAACTAGTGGGAAGCTGCTGCATAGCCCAGGGAACTCAGCTTGGTGCTATGTGATGACCTAGAAGGCTAGGATGGGGAGTGGGAGGGAGGCCCAAGAGGGAGGGGGTATTCATATAACTGATTCACTTTGTTGTATAGCAGAAACTAACACAAAACTATGGGCTTCTTAGGTGGTGCTAGTGGTAAAGAACCCTCCCACCAATGCAGGTTGGAGATGAGACATGCCAGTCCGATCCCTGGGTCAGGAAGATCCCCTGGAGAAGGGAATGGCAATCCACTCCAGTATTCTTGCCTGGACAATCCCATGGACAGAGGAACCTGGCAGGCTACAGTTCATAGGGTTGCACAGAGTCAGACACGACTGGAATGACTTAGCGCACAGCACACAACATAACTCTGTAAAGCAACTATGCCTCAATTTAAAAAAAAGATCTGATTCCAGTTTTTTCTTTACATCAAGGGTTGAAAATTGGCAGCTCATGGGTCTGTATACATATCTTTATAAATGTCTGTATGTTTGGATGCTTGTGTATATGTGTTTTGAGCCAGGACAGCCTTTTCTAAGTTGAATTAGAATGCCTTCGGGGCACTTAGACTCTCTTAGTCACTGTTATATCCACTTCCTTCCTCTGGCTCTCTTCCTCTTTTTTCTTTTACAAAAATTAATTAAATTGTTGAAAAATATATTCAAATTCTACTTGTGGGAAAATGAAAAATGAGATTACCAACATCAGGGTATTCATTCATTTGGATTTGCTAGTATTTCCATACAAGCAGTATTAGTGATAATTTTTTTCTTTGAAACTAGAGTAAAATCATCGTAAATTTTTATACCCAGCTGTTCTAGTCATAATTTAAATCACAGAAACTCTCCACAGGACCTCAGACTTTTTTTTGGGTGGGGGGGAGGTATCTTTTTTCTGGCAGGACTAATTACTCTGAAAATAGTAGGGTGAGACCGAATGCTGTCCTTAGTATACAGGAGACTGGCACCTCCTTTGGAAAACAAANGAGACTGTCACCTCCTTTGGAAAACAAATCTTTGTGGCTTAACCTGTCTGGTGTTCTCAGCTCATTGCCAAATTGGGTAAGCTCCCTAGATTCTGTTAATTTGATTATGCCATTGTGTACAGGAACTCTGAGTTGGAGTTCTTCCCTGTTCCTTGGATATGTCAAACATATAAGTTGCAGTGTTACGTGGTTTGGGTTGAAAAGGGCAGGACTTGCCAACATTTATCACCTTAAGAATTGCTTTTCTCTCATCCTCATATATACAAAAGTCAGAGCTATAAGACACTAAACATCTGTATGAAAACAAAAAACTCAGCAGAAATATTGGATTAAAGTGTCTATTCTTTGCTAATTTCTTTTAAAATTTTCAGCCAAGTGTGTGTGTTTGTGTTGTTGAAGTTTGTTGAATTCAAAGTAGGACTGTTTATTATGAGGATAATTTTCTTTTACATGGCTAAGTATGAGTTATTTAGGGAAAAAACGAACATCAAGTCTCTGGGTCAAATGTGATTCAGAAGAGTTAGATTTTAAATGTGAAGTGATAGAATATTTTATCCCATTTATTTTGTTGTTGTTATTGTTCAGTCACCCAGTTGTGTTCGACTCTTTACGACTCCATGGACTGTAGCATGCCAAGCCTCCCTGCTCCTCACTGTCTCCCAGAGCCATCTCACCATCTGATGCCCTCTTCTCCTTCTGCCTTCAACCTTTCCCAGCATCGGGACTTTTCCAACAAGTTGTCTGTTTGCATCAGATGACCAAAATACTGGAGTTTCAGCCTCAGCCTCTGTCCTTCCAGTGAATATTCCGAGTTTATCTCCTTTAAGATTGACTGGTTTCATCTCCTTGCTGTCCATGGGACTTTCAGGAATCTTCTCCAGCAGTGCAGTTCGAAGGCATCAAAAATTCTTTTGGTGTTCTGCCTTCTTTATGGTCCAACTCTCACAATCATTCGTGACCACTGGGAAGATCATAGCCTTGATATACTGACCTTTGTTGGCAGAGTACTGTCTGTGCTTTTCAACACATTGTCTAGGTTTGTCATCGCTTTCCTGTCAAGAAGCAATAGTCCTCTGATTTCATGGTTGCAGTCACTATCTGCAGTGATTTTGGAGCCCAGAAAGAGGAAATCTATCACTACTTTCACCTTTTCCCCTTCTACTTGCCATGAAGTAATGGGGTTGGATGCCAACTTATTTTACTTGCTTTATATTTTTTATTTATACATGAGTATATTAAAATTTATTTCCAATAATTAAAAAACTGATTCTTTTAATGTGTTAATTCCGGTGTTAAGAAAGTTTTATATAATAGCTTGATTGTACCTTCTTTTCTTTAGTAGCACATACACTTGATGGCATCTTTTGTTTAGATACAACATAGCGATACTAAATACTTCATAAGATTGTTATGAGGGACTGAATAAGTGAGTACAGAGAATAACTTAGAGTAGGGTCAATCGTTTAGTAAATACAAATAAATATCAGCAATCATTATAATTGACCAAAGAACAATGATATCATCTTGAATGACAATGCATTATTAATAATGATGATTACGCATTAATTATGATTCAGTTTTACAGGTGCTGTACTGGCTGTCAGAATGAAAACATTTTTTTTTCTACTTACATAAAAGTCACATTTGAAGAAACTGATGGAACAGCTCGTAAATTGATCTCATCACACTCAAGTTCTAAACCTTGGCAAATGCATTGCATGGGTGCAGACCCGACCACTGAGTAAAGAGGATGTAGTAAGGGGAGGGGATGAGGAGGGACCAGGAACAGGAAGGGAATGAAAAGAAAGAAACAAAAAACTATGAGAAAATCATACACAAAAGTGTGTCGTGTCTTATATAAGCAACTTGTGCAAAGCTTTAAATTAAGGTTCTAAAAGTTTGCTTTAAACATTAAAATGATAGTAGGACTTTAAGATAAGGAAACATACACATTTACCAGCCCATGCATTTAAAAAAGTAGCAGCTTGTTCTTCTCCATTTGTTGGAAAATGAAGTCATCTGCTCTTATTTTATCCTTGGAGAGTAGCTATGTCTAAAGGTGACATGACAGTGTGTGATGGGCTTTAATGTTTGTTTTAAAGCTGCTACTTAAGAATAAAGTGTTCATTTTAATGGAATACTAAGCTGTTTTTAACTAGCAAGAAAAAGAACTTGACTGTGAACTATAGTGCTGGTAGATTTTCTTTTTAAATTCAGGAACTCTTCAAAGGACTTCTTTTGGTTTATGTAGAACTGTAAGGATGCCTACTGCTTCACTTAAGGAAGTGAACATTTTTTATGCATAGCTATTCTGTTCTTACTGATGGGAGTTGGAAAGGGAGGGAAAATGGGATGTATGCCTTCGGCTACCTTGTGGGCTCCCAATATTGCTAAGGTTTATTAGAGATTTGGCGTGGTGTGTTCATATAGCTAAATGGGAATATTATTCAGTGTCATAGACATCATCTGATCCCTGACTTGATGAAGAATGGATGATGCCTCATCAAGAGCAATGGGGCATGTTCTCTTTTACATTTACTTTGAAACCCTGCGCTTAGAGCAGAGCATATAGAATTGAATGTCTACAGAGGCAGGCAAAGCTGGTACCGATCGCATCCGGGGGTCCCAGTGGGACAGCTTCTCCTAACTGTTGCCCTATTACCATAGGAGCATCTGTGGCCAAGTCAACCAACTTCCTCAAAGAAGCCCCCAAAACAATACTTTTTATATAATTACCTACTAATAAACAGTAATACTTAAAAACATTTTAATCATCATAGGACAGACAAAACTTCTTGTGAGAACTTTCTGTTTGCAGACTTTTAGTCCAGAACCTTTACAGGAATGTTTCTGGAGAGTGGAAAAGCATCTTGATGGCAAAGAAGACATTCTGGCATCAAAGATGGTGGATGATGGTGGGAAATTTGCACAGTGAGCTCCAGCCTTGGAAACAGCCAGGTATTCCTTTACTCAGATATGTGGCCACAGGTGATTTTTGTCTCCTTCCAAACAATTTGCATATTTCCTACAGAATCCTGAGAGCTTACGATCATAATTTAGGTTTTGTGTGTTTTGTCAGCAGAGTCTGTGCCAAGAAGTTTTGAACAGTCTTATGGTTTTAAGTGACCATTTTGGTAATGGATCCCTAAGAACTGCTTCTGCTGCTGCTAAGTCGCTTCAGTCGTGTCCGACTCTGTGCGACCCCATAGACGGCAGCCCAACAGGCTCCCNGAACTATTTAAAAATAAATAGTACTGAACTATCTCATAAAGTGCTTTCACATACAGTCCAATGCATGAAAGTGAAAAGTGAAAGTGAAGTCGCTCAGTCATGTCCGACTCTTAGTGACCCCATGGACTGCAGCCTACCAGGCTCCTCCGTCCATGGGATTTTCCAGGCAAGAGTATTGGAGTGGGTGCCATTGCCTTCTCCCCCTAAAAAGTAGTTCTATCTAAATTCCTGTGCTAACGTGTGTGTTGTTGGGAGGGGACAGGGAGCTTTTGGAGGGGAGATGAATGGCTTGAGAAGTTGGTACAAAGGGTAAAAATAGAAGGTGGAGAAGATAGCATTAATCTGGTGTTTTTTTCCCCTATTTTTATAGGCTCAGTTAAGATTGATAATTCATATGTGTTGATGAGGAAAGTGAAAGAATAGCACCTAAATATCCTACCAGGAAAGAAGGATGAAGCAAATTATGTCACTTAAAAATTTATGGTATTTTGAAAGATTTATAGTATGAATACTTGACTATTCTAAAATGCTACCTGAAAATATGACAAGAATGGATTGCACAGAAAATTTCAACTATGCTAAAATAAAAAGAAAGATGAATAATGAACCAGCAAGTTAATGCTGGTAGCTTCTGAGTGGTGAAGTTATGGCTAAGTAAATAATTCTTTCCAAATCAATATACTTTCCATATTGCTCAAATTTAAATTTTATGAATATATTTGTTATGAGGGATATATTTTCCGTGATATTTTTCTTGAGAGGTGACTTTATAAAGGTGAGTTCTTAAAAAAAAAGAGTTCTTCACATTCATCCAGTCATAAAGTATTATAAGCCAGTTAAATTTCTCAGTTAAGTTTCCAATAAATACTTATTATAATAAAATCAGATAAAGTGATACAGTAGGAACCTTAATTTAAGTTTCACCCCCTAATTTTACACTATGCTTTACATCTAATTTTTATACTGGTTTTAAGTTTGAAAAAATATACTGAATTTTAAATTATCATCCTACCCCTATCTTTCTTGAAAATTCTAGTTAAAAAATTATATGTTTGCTCATTTCTAAGAACAGACAAAAAATTGCCTCTGTACTTTTTGAAGTATCATTTTTTGTGTAGCTGCCTTCCTCTTACGTAAGAATACTTAGGGAACATTTCTCCCAGAGCTCATCATCTGGTAAAAAATTTATTTCTCTTGTTGACTTGATCTGTTTTTCCCATTTGTTTGGTTTTGCTTTACAGACCAGACTATGAAAGTTATGCAACCCATTATTTTCCCTCTTTGACCTAATGACTACAAAATTAAGAACTAGGTAGTAACTTTTCTCAGTGAGGTTTTCTTATATAATTTTCCTTCTCCCATTTACCATGGAATTTTTGTCTCTTATGTCAAGTTAATGGGTTATGTCTGTTTATAGCCATATTTATTTTTATTGAAAATTGCCTAACATCCTTTTGGGAATAATGTAAAATATAAAAAGATTCAATTAAAATTTAAGAAATGAAAAGGATATAGAATAAATCAAAAGAGAAAATAAAAATGATATTTTGAGACTGTATGGCTTAATCCATTAGTTTTATGCTTGATATTAGTAGTTAAATTATACCCGTTAACTTTTTCCTTTTCCAAAAGCTTCCAGCTTTTTCATGATCAAGTAATCTGGTCTCTCTCTGTATATATTTTGGCCACACCATGCAGCCTGCGAGATCTTAGTTTCCTAACCACAGGTTAGTTCCCTAACCCTAATTGAACCTATGCCCCCTGAAGTGGAAGTGCAGAGTCTTAAACACTGAACCACCAAGGAAGTTCCATGGTTTCCATATTTTGACAAGAAGACAACATGTGGTTGAGATAGAATGCTGAGTGACCTGTGAGATTAACAAGAGGGATTATATCCACTTGAAGTGGGGATTGATAGCAGTTTTTTATTAGTTTTATTTGAGGAGTAAAGGCAAAAAATATTAAAAAAAAAATTGAAAAGCTGCACTTTACAATTTGTGGTAGAACATAAAGTGGAAAATGTAGTAAAGGATTCTTTTCCCCAAGCCCTTCCTTTTAACCAAGGTTTTTTTTGAAAGCTATGATTGAAATTACAACTTTAATGCACACATTTATATGTGAATAATTTATTAGAATAAGCCCAATTTATTTAAAAAGAATAATGTATATTGATCTTCCTGATTTTAGAAATTACAGAGTTTATCCTCAATGTTATACCCTCCTACAATCCTTCCCACGGTTTTTGTAAGTTTTTGGTATGTGACTAAATGTAGATTGTAACAAATAAAGTTTTTTGGTAGCTGTAAGACTGTATGGTAGCTGTATGACTTAGACCCCAGAAGCTTTTTCACTTACAAATGTTAAAATCCCAACAGCTTCTCTGCTCTTGTTTCCATTTCCTTTAAATTGGAGTTGCTTTTATATCAGAATTTACAGTGACTGTGTAAAGGGGATATGTAAAATAGAAACCCCAATGCACTGACATTAATTTTGTTCACATCAATACCTAGCATGATTTAGTCCTGTTGCACTTATGATCCCCGAGTCATTTAAAAATAAAATTCTCAATTTCAGGTTGTATGTCTAATAGAAAATTATAATTTTGCAAATAGAAAACTGCAATTAACTTTACAAAAATATTAAAAACATTGTATCCAACTTTTAAGAACATGGTGTCTTACTATAAACCCATAGACAAGGGTGCTCAGCCCTTCTAACTACTTACAGCATTCAGATGTTTCTGCCACAATACTGGGATACAAGGAAGTCATTTTGTAGTTACTGCCATAGTATCTGTCAAATTGTGTAGACCATCCATTGATGTCTCCTAAAATAAAGATCAGAGAACAGAAAGGTTCAAGAATAGAAATATTCTGGAGTGTTGGGGAAAACAGGTCTTCTCTTTAAGATAATGTAATGACCGTTGGGAAACAGAATCTAAAAAAGTAGATATATACGTACGCTTCCATATCCAGGGCTTCCCTGGGGACTCAGATGGTAAAGAATTTGCCCGTACACAACTAAATTGCTCTGTTGGGCATCATATATTAATGAAACATTGTAAATCAACTACACTCCAATAAAAATTAATTTAAAAAAGAAATGGGTGATTGACAAACAGAGAAAGATCATCTGGGAGCTTGTCAACAAGGAGAATTTCTGGCCCCCCACCTAGACATCCTGATTTCACAGGTCCCCTAATCTCTGGTTTCAATAGACACTAGAGGTGATTCTTCACCAAGCAGTGTTCGAGCCACACATTGTTAATTTTATATTGGAGTAAAGTTGATTTACAATGTTGTGTTAGATTCATGCGTACAGTAAAGTGATCCAGTTATACATATACATGTATCTATCCCACTTCAAATTCTTTTCCCATTTAGGTTTTTGCAGAGTATTGAACAGTTTCATGTGCTTTAAGTCCTTGTGAGTTATCTGTTTTAAATATAACTGTAACAAACAGTACTTTAGATGTACTGAAACACAGTACACTGTTCTTAGCATCTTCATTTTAACTTCCCTCAGTCTCTTCAATCGTGTAGACTGATGTTGGAGATGGAAGGCCATAGGTGTTAAATAGAAAAAGAAAAAAATAACATGACCAGCATGATCTTATTCTTTTTTTAAGGCACTGTGGTATCATGGGTAGTGTTGAGTGATTATCCTCTGAATGCTTACATATTTTCTCATCTATATTTTCTGATTTTGATATGAAACTTTTGTCTCATTTAAAAAATGAGACCAAAAATAGTAAAAAACAAAAACAAAGACTTCATTTGGTGGGAGGGAAAAAATAATTTTTCCTTACAAAATTCGTCATGAACTTGCAGTTATTTTTGAACCTGAGACCATGAGGCCAGTCATGAGATGGAAAGGATGTGAGTTGGGGTGCAGGTGAAGCTTCTCTGTACCCTCTGTAGAGGGTACCAGCCTTATCCCATTGCAGGTTGGGGATGGGGTTAAAGGGGATCCTTCCCAAACGATCCTGTTTTCAGGATGCTGTTGGGACTCTTTAAGGATGCATAAACATAAACAAGAGACCCGGGTTCAATCCCCGGGTGGCAAATATCCCCTGGAGAAAGGAAAGGTTACCCACTTCAGTATTCTTGCCTGGAGAATTCCATGGAGCCTGGGGTCACAAAGAATCAGACACGACTGAGGGACTAACACTAACTTTCAAACATATAAACAGGTGATAGAAGTGATAAAAGTTTATCTTGTGTAATTTAGGACTAAATTTAAATCTGGCATCTCTTTTATAAGTTATTTCTGCTGTGTATGTATAATTCAAACCCAAGATTGAGTCCAGATAGTGCAACTTTGCCTGGATGTGGTGAACCTAACCTCATCCATGGTTTTCCGTCTAATCAGAGGACTTCCAAATTACATTTCCAGTCTGTACTTTATCTTGTGTAACATGGACTCCGCTCACTATAAGCAGCTAGAGCACAACATTCACCAAATGGAACTCATCATCTTTCTCCATATAATCTTGCTATTTCTCCTAAATTTTCTGGATTGGTGAATGATCTGCTCAAATCAGAAAATGTTTTGAACATGCTCCTATCTGATTAAATATAATTTGTACAAATTTCCTCCATCTCCAGGTTATTTTCTTATTTTCCATGGCTCATTAAGTCTTTCATGAAGATTACATTTGGGAAAGGAAAGGTATTCTAACATAAGTGTTATGCATGCCTGTAAAATTAGGCTTCCTTTTAAAGTTTCACTAAAAATAAATTGGAAAGAAGAGATGCTATTTAAAGATTGTATTTATAGCTGTTTCTATCCTTTAGTATTGCTTATTAGTTTTAACACTTCTTTATTATGAAGGATTTAAAAATAAACACAAGTAGCAAGGCAGTATAATGATATCCCAATGATATCTTTATGGTATCTCAATGATATCATTACGATATCTCAGAGGGAGACAATTGATGGACCTCAAGTTTACCATCTGCAGACATCAGCTTGAGACTCCAACTAAGTGTCAGTAATTGGATGGACAAAAGATACACCCCAGAAACAGCAAATCCCAGTGTCTGCACAACCAGGAACCAGGTCAAAGTGCCTCGCTAACCCTTGACATTGTGAGTAGAGTAACAGGAGGGAGGAAGGAACTTGAAAGACTAAGTTTGTTCAGGTGAATAGAGACGGTAGCTTGTTGCGACTGTGAAGATTTAATGCATCCTTTTATTTTTGTTTTTTGCTCTCCCACCATTCAGTTTAGAATGCTTTCTCATTCTTCAGAAGCTGGTAACTTAGTTCTATGTTTTCCAGACTCCAAGAAGTTCGGTTCTTATAGCTATATTTCCACCAGTGGGATGCTCTCATGCGAGACCGGAGGTTTGTAGACTCCATCTTGTGGGTACCTGCTGTGGGTGGGACAGTTACCCTGGCCCCAGCTTCCTGGGTAAAGAGCTGATGAGCCATAGTGGATGCTTCTTAATCTTGGGCTTGCAAGTATAGTAGTGTTTTCCCCACTCTGGCCTCTATATTCTTTATAACGGTTCTATAAACACATTCTTCTCCGTGTGAAACCTCTTTTTTTCCCTTAAGCCTCCCAAACTCCAGAGTGGTTTCTGTTTCCTCCTTTCAGAAGGGGTTGCAGATAACAATCTCAAGGATAATAACATTGGATTGGTTATCTGAACTGAATGGTTTTGAAGATAACAACAGTCCTGTTACTATTAGAAAATTGTACTCTCATAGTCTACAGCACACTGTGACCAAAAAGTTGTTTAAATGATCATTTATGGCTTCCTGGGCTTATGTGCCTCTTCAAAAGATAGATTCTGGCAAAGCAGTTGCTATGGTAACTCATCAGAATGAAAACAAGAAATGTCAAGTGTTGTGGAATGAAGTGACTATGAGGATAGCCCTGGAGAGATTAAAGAGAGAAAATGACAATCTCAGGGTATGACATCATCAGCTCAAGAAGGTTCAGAAAACCAGGGAGCTGCCATAATTGCCCTAAGATAACCTTTTATCTTTTGGGAACTTGGGACTCAGATAGGACTCAAATCTAATGGGTTGCTAAGGTTACAACATAAGCTGAATTCACAGTTTGTCCTATCTTTTATTTATTTTATTTATTTTTGATGGCTCTGGGTCTCTGTTGCTGTGCACAGGCTTTCTCCAGTTGTGGTGTGTGAGCTTCTCGTTGCGGTGGCTTCCCTTGTTGCAGAGGACACACTGTAGGGTGTGTGGGCTTCAGCAATTATGGCACATGAGCTTAGCAGTTGTGGTTCTCTGGTTCTAGAGCAGAAACTCAATATTTGATTCATGGGCTTAGCTTCTCTGTGGCATGTGGGACCTTCCCAGATCAGGGATCAAACTCATGTCTCTTGCATTGGCAGGCAGATTCTTTACCACTGAGCCNTCAAACTCATGTCTCTTGCATTGGCAGGCAGATTCTTTACCACTGAGCCGTAAGGGAAGCCCTTCTCCTATATTTTAAGTGAACACTAGGACTCTGACTTGAAAAGAGAGGGACCCTGGGAATTGTAATGAGACATTTGAGCATATTTAGTTGAATTTGCATCCCCCTAAATTCCCATCCTACTGAACCTCCCTGGCCAGCATAAGCAGCTGCCTTCCTCTGTCCGATGAGGTTACTTGTTTCTTGGAGGCTTGCTAGTTACTTTTAGTTCAGTTCAGTTGCTTAGTTGTGTCTGACTCTTTGCAACCCCATGGACTGCAGCATACCAGGCTTCCCTGTCCATCACCAACTCCTGGAGTTTGCTCAAACTTATGTCCATCGAGTCGCTGATGCCATCCAACCATCTCATCCTCTGTCATCCCCTTCTCCTCCCACCTTCAATCTTTCCCAGCGTCAGGGTCTTTTCCAATGAGTTCGTTCTTAGCATCAGATGGCCAAAGTATTGGAGTTTCAGCCTCAGCATCTGTCCTTCCAATGAATATTCAGGACTGATTTCCTTTAGGATGGACTGGTTGG